TATGGTGGTGGCTGCCATCTTGACTTTTATGACATCCCCCTGCAGGCACCCTTGCTGCTCAGGGTTTATATTGCTGTTTGCTAGACTAAGGATCCAGCAGACACCAACCCTAAGAAGTTGAGTTCTCCCTCTTGGCCTTCCTTTCTTCAGTGCCGAATCTTTATCTTTAAAATAATTATTTCTTGAATTTGTAAAAGACCCAGAGAATCATTCATGGCATTCAGGGTCATACATTCAGCACTCCTTGCAGCCTGGTCATCATTGCTTTTCCAGGTTTCCAGATTCATCAGACGGGGGAATCAAAATCCCTTTTCTTCTCCGCAAGTTGAACGCATTTTCCTAGCAGTCCTACCATTCAGGTTTGTCCACAGCACCTTCCTAATTCTTCAGGTTTGAAGAACCAAAATGTCGCATGTTCTTCTGTGACTTTCTGCTGAGCCTAACAAAGATTTGTCCAACTATGTATGATTATACAGTAAGTGAGGTTATTTTTTTTCTAATGACCAACATGGCTATGACTGTTTTTAACACACATAAAATAGAACAAATAATAATATATGTGGCTGCGGGTTCAGAAGTTAGCTTTGATCTAATCACTTATTTCTGGTAGTACCACTATTCTTTACCACAGAAGCTCACCCAAACCTGCAACAGAAGTCTAGCTTAAGAAGGAAGCTTCTGCTATTCTCTAAGAAGGGTTTTTATACCTAGCCATGCTCAGATGCAAGAATATGGCTTGATTCAAGAGTTAGACTACAGCATCTGCCCTAAAGGCATTAGGAATAATCTTGTATGACCATTTTATTTATTTATTTGTTGGTTGGTTGGTTGGTTGGTTGGTTGGTTGGTTGGTTGGTTGAGTTACTCCATATTGTTCAGTTACATTGCCTCCAGCTTCCAAATTTCTCTGCTTTACGTCACTATCCCACCCAAATACAAAAACATAAATGGGTGTGGAGCATTTTTCTCCTGGGAAAGCTACCGACTTATGGGAAAATGGATAACCCACCCAGTGAGGGCTACAACCCAAAACAAAACTGCCTGCCTGCTCTCACTACCCCGGGGGCAGCCTCTTTCTTCCCAGCTTAGAAGTTCAGTCCCTACAATGGGCAGGGAGAGAGAGGGAGGGTTAACCAGCTACCAACAGAGCAAGCCACTGCATCCAGACACCCAGAGCATTAAACAAGAACAATAAAATGGGTCCCAAGTTAGAAAGTGTAGTTCCAAAGCTGATGTGAGGTTTGGAAGCATTGGAGAGATGGCTCTACAGCAGTATTCATGTATTGCCTGAGGAACCGAGTCTTGATCTTACTCACAGTTTAATGATTTTTATATAATGTTAAAAAGTAAATGATGCCCTGATGAATGCCATCCAGTGCGATTGCCAAACCTCCAGTATAAAGTTGCTTCAAAGGGGCAAATAAATAAACGGAGACATTGTTAGAAGCCAAACTTCACTGTGCATTACAAACAGCAGATAAAAATCAGAATTTTATGAAATGGCTGTTCACCAGAGTAGAAAGAAATATCTTAAAGGAGAACTCAAAGTGCTCTGTGTTGTTTTAATGTATTTTATCTGAAGAACAGAGATGTTAACGCCACCCTGTTTGTCCTATTAACATCCGTTTTCAAAACTGACAGATTCCAGATGGGATGAGCTGGCACTTTGGGGATCCGGGTGAGGGGCGGGGACAGGTGGTCTTCTGGAGGTTGCCGAACTACAGGTCTCAGGAGCTCTGGCCAATATGGATGATGGTGAGGGATGCTGGGAGTTAATTTGGTGAGTATTAGTGGGCCAAAGTTTCCCAGCCCAGGGTTATTGATGTGCTGTACCATGAGAGATGGAATTTAATGAAATAGGGAATAGCTTTACTAAAAACAGGTTTATTTTACCTGGAACTTGCTCAGTGAGAAGATATTTGGAGAACTGGATGAAGCAACCTGACTTTTGAGTGGTTTTAGCCTACACCATCTGCTTCGACAATAGACAAGAGGGGAGAGATACCTGTTGGCTCTGCAGCTATCAACAGAGAGAAATATGTTCAGCTTTTCCAGAGATCATATCGCATTCCCCTGCAAGTATGTTTCAAGGCCAAACTGGAAATTCTTCTAATGTGAGGCATACCCACAGAAAACAGGTTGTAAGGTGTAAATTACCAAACTGTTAGCAATGAAGTGGCCCTCACAGCAAACGGCTGCTAGAAGGCCTTTCTTAGTCAGTGGTAGCCTAGGTTATGGGGACAAAAGGGATTTCCTGTGGACTGGTTTGTTTTGAAAAGAAAAGATGGTATGTCTTAAAGTCTCCACTGCTTTGGGGAGTTAAATAAGGTTCCAGATTCTTCCTTCCCATGAAAGAAGATCAGGTACATTTTAAAAATCTGATTAGCCAATCAGAGTGACAGAAAACTAGCCTAAACAACATAGATCATAATGTCACATCATCTACCCACTTCCAATAAGAGAATGTGCCCATAAATATGGGCAACAGGACACACATTCTTGGGTGCTGGAGTGCAATTAGCCTTTCCTGAACCAGCGGGACACAATCTCCACTGTCAGGCCAATCCAGCAGGTATTTGGCAAAGGTGAAGTAATTGTGTATGGATTCAACCTGCATGGACCTCTGGAATTGAAGTATGGCCAGCCTCTTTTCCATTTTTTCTCCAAGTAGTCTTAGTGTTGTATGTGTGTGTGCATTCATGCATGTGTTTACACGCTCTCTGCTACTACAGCTACAAACTGAGGATATGCAGTGTTTAAGGTAAATGTTAATACAGCATTCCTATAGTTAATAAACATGGACTTTTATTCTGGAAAAAACATTATACACAAACCTCCATGAACATGGTCACATGTTCTAGCTGTCAAATCACTTTCTTACCCAGCACAGCCTAGAAGATGATTCAGCAGACTGCAGTTTTTTAAATAATCCTGTAGAGCCATTAATGGATGAGACCAGATTTTAAATTCAGTTACCCACATTTGAAACAAAACTCACAGTGTGGTACATCTTAAAATCACAGCCTTCTGGTTTTATAAATGTATACACCTCTGTGATAATCTGATCAATGACGATCAATAACTCTGCCTTAAAAGTTAAAACTCATGCAGATTATGTTTTATAAGAGTTAGGAGCCTTGGACCTGTTCAGAAAAAGTTCATTTTCATTCAGTAACATAGCAGTCTTGAATCTCACATCTTAGTTGTTCTACTAATTCCACGAGATTGCCATTCTTTCAGAAGTGACTTGAACAAAATTTCCCACAATTCAGTGATCATTGCTGAGCAGGACACAGGTGTGCAGGTGATTTGCCATGCAACATTTTCTTAATTGTTTCACTTCCTGAGCATGGATGAAGATGAAGCATGATGATGATGATGATGATGATTATGATGGCATTCACTGAACATAATTGTTGTTCATACTGGCTGAATTTCTTTCATTAAGATAGCCCAGTTCTGTACATCATGGCCACAAAAACTGCACACACACACACACACACACACACCCAGAATCCTTGGCATTTTTGTCTGATCTGCCCTGAGCAACTAAGAAGTGATGCACAAGAACCCTGGCTTTAAATAACAGGCCCTTCACAGCCTGCGTCGCTAATTGCAGAATCCAGCCTGCACCACAATTTCTTTTCCATACTGGAAAGCAGCTCAAAAGGGAGGGACCTTAACCACAGGGCCAACTGAACTGTAATGCCTTTTTCAACTGAGTTTATGATCAATTATGTGAATGGACATTACCTTCAGTTTGCTTGCCTTGACGAGCTAATCTGAGTAATGAAGGTGCAGCCTGCTAATTTCTCCAGCCCCTGCCCCGTGTGCCTGTCATCTGAACAATCCTCTGTCGCCATGCCAGCAGGAGACCCCACTGAAGGGTAGTTGATGGAGGTCTGAAGGGCCGCAGAAAAAGTGCACTTTGGGGGATAATCAGCAAATAATGTTTGTTAGTTTCAGAGCCTTTGTGACTCTTGTCAACCACTTAACCCTGAAGGTTGCAAATTGCAGGTACCTAGAAAGGAATGGCAGGTTAACCGAAAATTGTCTAAAGCAGGCTTTCAAAGCATGATGCATTAATGCAAACAAGCAATGCTTTCGCATAAAGTTTTTTGTAAGACTGAACAAAAGTAAACTAGGTTACTAGCTTTTTCATAGCTAAGTCACATTTAGCAGTCTGGCCTAATGGTAATGACACAGTACCAGTCATTTCTCACAGATCTGGTCAGTGTTTGGCAAGTGTAAGTGAAGTCCAATTTTTCCCCAAACATGCTTGTGCTACTTTTGTAAGCTAGGATCTTTGAACTATAGACTACCTGCAAGCTAACATACAGTTGCCTGCATCCCATAACCAGGAGGTACTGTATATGCAGTGCATTCATGCCCTCTCAGGCCTCAGAAATCTAGTTAATGGTATCAGTTGTTAATGGTATCAGTTAATGGTATTGGTAAACTATATTTAGTTAGACTTCTTTCCAGTTTCTCTCATCTCCTTCCTCCATTTTCTTTCCTGCTCCACCGCCCCCACCCCGATCATTTACCTATCTTTTATCTGGAATAGATTATTAACTAATGGATATGTTGGTACAGTACCTGAAAACATAATATTGCTTCATGTGTAACTACATTACAATAACACAAGAAATAAACACATCACCAGTTGTAATATTTAGCCTAAAAATGGGATTCATTTTCTTCCTCCCATTTGTTTTCTCTCCCAGACGAAGTATTGATTAAAGAACAGCTTTAAAAAAGCAGTTTTCTACTATGGATGATGCTTCTGATCCATCTGAAATAGTTTAAGCAAAACTATGAAAAGATAGCATGCACTTGCCTAATGATCTGATTTGGAAAGCATGTTCATCTTAATTGAACCATCACAGTTCAATGCTATAGACACCTTAACCTTAACCCCTTCAGGCATAATGTTGACCCCTTAGCATTTCCGAAACATGTTGAGCCCACTCTAGGCACTCAGTCTGCATGCACAAAGGTTAAAATTAGGATATCCCTCACTTTGATATGGAGTTGGTTAACCCAATTAGATCTCAGCGTCTGGGTAAGAAGGGGTAACCCATTTTGACATTGGTTCATATCTGAACCCACACAAAGCTCCAATCTTGAACTGTGTTTCTGAAGTTTAGGAGTGCTGCATGTTTTCTTACAGAATCTTTTTTGCAACTAATTGCTGGAGTAAGGGCCAGATGAAGGATGAAGAACATGGGCTTGATGTCAATAACTAGTGGGTGACTAGACATTTTGAATGAAAAGGCCAAGGTTGCACATATAATAAATCTGCTTTAAGAGGATGACTGTCAAGTTGTTTTGCACCTCTTCAACTAAATCTTAAAACCATTGGAATTTTTCTTAACTCTGTTTTAATTACTCATGTATTTTCCTTCACATTATTAAACATTCTATAACATTACCTTAGGTTCAAAGACAAACAAATTCATTTCACTACAGCTAAATGAGATTAATGTAACTGTTAATTAATCATGATTTTACCCAAGGTGATAAACTTTAGAAATGCATTGACATATCCCAATGCTGTAATTCACTTTTTTATTTTGACATCAAAGCTGAGAAAATCTTGACAGATCAGATATCCTGCTGATTTTTTTAAAAGCTGTTTGTAACATTCTTTCAAATGTGCAAAAAAGAAGAAGAAGAAGAAAAGGATTTAACCTTTTTTCATTTAACAAAGCGACCCTAACAAAACAGACACACCAATTACGCTATTATGTGCATTAGCAAAAGAGCAGAATAATTCTACAAATACATTATGGCACATAAGCCTCATAATAAAGGAAAAACTTTACAATAAAGGGTAATGTAGTGCACAAAAGCTTCATTTAAAAAAAATGTACAATAATGTGGCATAAAGTAGCCTGTTGAGTTTATTTTCTGACTAGCATCTTTCGACTGTTGACTGTTTACCATACTCGGATGGGCACTTCAAGACTGAGGAGCACACAGCTTTGTTTTAAAAGGTGCATTGCAGGATAACATTCCCACTAAAGACAGGTTGGCAGCATGGCAGCATATAAATTCAGGCACATCTGAACGCAAAACAAAAGGTTAGATTCTTTACAAAAATCTTTCCAGGACAGTGCAAAGTTGTAAAGCCCCTCCAAAGGCAACAATTGTTTACAGAACAACATTCAAGACCGAAATACATCCAGAGTTGAATTAAAATGAGAGAATGCACCAATGAAAGAAAAAGGGTTTTGAACATCAAAAGTATTTTTGGTACTCCCAAGGTTTATATAAAAATGCCACTTCAACAACTTTAGGCTAATAGCTTAAAAGCACTGCATGAAGATCAAATCTTGACTTAGTGCTTACTTCAGAACTGAAGAACCACTTTACAGGACCACGGTGCATTTGAGAAGAGCTTTCAGAAGAGCTAGCTTGCAAGGCAGAACAATTGATTCATTTGAGTGAATCTGCAGTAAATACTTGAGCATCCATATATCCAGAAGTCCACTGGCTGAACAGTTGGCTTCTAGCTTGGTGTTAAAAGCAGTAGCATTAAGAACATGTGTACAAAATGAAGGCTCAGGTTCACACCAAAACATATGGCAAACACTAGCACCAATATCCAGCAGGACAGAGTTGTGCACAGAACCACTGTGTAAATGAAGACATACATTGCAATGCTTATCCGGGTGCTCTTAAACCAGGTGGATGCGTTGTTTGATGTAAATAGGAATGTGTATTCCCATCCAGGGAGATGAATAAGGCTGTGATATATATAATAAAGACCTAGCTGATTTTCAGTGGTGATGAATCAATGGTCCTGATTTTCAGGACAGGAAGGATATGGCAATTCAGTGGTGCCCATCTTCTGAGATCATGGCAGCATGAATGATTTCAGAAACCAAGCCTCACAATGACCCTCCACAACGATTGTAAAACTTTTCACAGAGAAGCAGGGGTGGGGGCTTCATTTGTATAGGGTTACCAGATATCTGAAAAGGCAAAGGAGGACACAGACAATTGGGAATGAGAACAAATGGGGGGGAAAGGGGGACACACTAATTCCTTTAACTTTCTTGGAGTCCATGACAAAAATTACAGGGTAAAACTGCAAAAAAAAAATTTTTTTTTAATTTAGGCCTACATGTACAGTATATGAAAATACTTTTTCCAACATAAGAAAGAGTGGTTTTTCAATGGCAGGAATGTGCTAGAGGCATGTAACTGATTAAGATCTTGTCAATTTCAGGCAGCAGCACAAGCCAGTGGGAGGACACTAATCAAGGCACAGAGCAGAGCTTGTTAACTTGTGGTTAGCACTGATTAGGGAAGGTTTGCTCTGAGGAGAAAAGCTGCTCAGGAAGAGATAGCTTGTAGATACTCAAAAAGCCAGACAATATTTGATTTTAAGGCAATGTCTGCTGAGCAGAGGACATGAAGGCAAAAAGGAGGACATGTCCTCCCTTTGCCGGATGTCTGGTAACCCTATATTTGTACCTTTGTTCTAGGGCTACATTTGAGCCTAATCTGTGTCCATCTTTCTCCTGAACATCAACACATCACAAAAAGGAGAAATGTTTCTTAGCTGGAGCTTAACAGGACAATCGTGGGAGGGACCATCTTCTTTGCACAAAACATAGGCCAATCTTGCCTCAGGTGCTTTCAAGAGATTTCAGTCCCTTTCAAGAGGAGCAGAATCTTGTGCTTAACTATGCCATGGGATTGCAGCTGTTAATTTGTGTTGTTCTTCCATTTGCCCCTCTCTGAGATTCCCTCATGGTGAAGAATGCTGATGCCTACGAAGAATTCTCAATACTCAATACTCCCCAGCAACCAGATTCATATGTGGCTGGAAAAGCAGAATGGTTGTAGGGCACCTCTTCTGCTCTAATAGGTAACACCATTATCATTATGCAGGTATACTTCCTTAGTCTCTTCGCACAGGAGTCAGAGCGTTCAAGCTGCTTATAGATATATTGCGAGTAATGGGAGCTTGACCAGCGGAGCTAAGCACATCCTGCAGCAGATTTCAAGAGCCCCAGAAGAGGAGGACGGGAGAGGATGGAGCTGGTTGGCAGGAGATCTGCCTGAGCGAGAATCCACAACAGCACTCAGTTTAAATCAGGATTTCACACACAGAAAATTTGCCCTTACAAAAGCTCAGATAAAAATTTACAGCTCCCTCTTTTCTTCTGTGAGCCTCTAAATCAGCATTAGATATTCATTAGTTGCATTATAATGATTTGGTAAATAGCGACATTTCCAACACTTTAAGGGCAGTTTGGTTTGCTGTTTCAAAATCTAACTTGGGAGGTGGGGTAGAAACCCATCCTTGCATACTATTAGGAACCCATTAGAGGCAAAGTCCTTTGGATTTGGCCAAAAAGCAGAATTAGCTGCCATGAAAGTCCTTCCTTCATTGAAGGACAGTTTTCTTGTGTTCAGTCCTAGACAAAGTGAGGGCTGTCTTGTCTCTTAGGAATATAAAATCAGATATGCAGTAATGATTTTTAACAATCGCTAAGCCTTAGGCACACATGATTGCATATGAGAGAAGATAGCTGAATTTTTTTTTTTTAACATGATTTTGTTGTATTTAACCTGTCAACTGGGTATATAGAACAGCTACATTCAGTTGTCTGATAGGTGAGCTTTGCATGTGTGTATTATATGCACAGAAACACACACACTGCATTCATTAAGGTGCTTCCAAAACAATAGTAATAAGGATAATACAATGCTTCCAGCAAACTAACAATAAGGACAACTAGATATTTTTCTTAAGTTTCACACTTTTGACAGAAAGCAATTTCAGTTCCCAAGCTGGACCTGTCCCAGTTGTGCTGGCATTAAAGCTAAAGACATCTCACATTCTCGTGGTAAGAGCCTATCCCCACCCCCTGCCACCTCCAGCTTCCTTGCTTGCATTTCTTTTGCCTGTTTATTTCTCAAGGCAAAGTAATTATCTCTGTGGTGGTTAGGAAAATAGATGTCGTGTATATTACTTAAATAGATCGAGACTAATTTTAATCTTCTGCCTTGTGTGAGGGTAGACAGAAAAGGAGTAATGGCTGCCTACATCTATTCAGAAGTCTACCCGTCTGGCCACCAATGTACCCATAGAGCTCCTGTGCTTGAAATGTTCACCATTCACTTTGATGGAGGGGAAACCTCCCAAGCTTTGAATTTCTTAGATGGAATTTCCAACCCAGCAGAAGTGAATGAAACAAACAACCAAAGCAACAAATACGAGGGAACTTTTCTACCTTCAAGGAACCAGTAGATTAGAAAAATAGCAAAAGTGTTTTCCCTTACAAAAATAGAAACACCAAATTATAGTTATTGTAGCCTGATCCTGTGCTTGTCTATTCAGAAGTATGTCCCACTGCATTCTATGGGGCTAACTCCCAGTTAAAAATGTCTAGGTTTGCAGTAAGCACTGGGGTATAAATGACTAAAATTTGCTTCCTTTAATTATGGCCCTACAAGGACACTTTTTGTTGTTAATATATCGTGCAATATATTACAATGTAACATATACAATGTAATATATATACAATGTGAGTATTGAACATACAACTGTATACATTTTTGGCAAGGCACTTCATACCCCCAGTGGTTTTGGGGAAATGTCAAAGCAGGAGCATTGATTTTTGTTCTTCTTTTTATGTTTTGAAAATAGATATTTTACTGTGCTAATAAAAAGCAAGGCCACCAGCAACAAACCTCAGACTAGAAGTGTTGGTGAGAACACTGTAAAACAAGATGAAATAAGACTCTTCACAACATTTGGGCATGTATTTGGGAAGGGAACGTGGTATGTTACCAAAAGTGGTTGCTGCTGATCATCTGCAGATTTTGATCTGCCCTGTCCTGTATGTGTGCCCCTCACTTTAGAAGGTGTCAAGATGTGCAGGACCCAAATGGCAGTGTGTGATCTCACCTGCAGTGCAAAACAACTTGTCCTTTCCTCATGCTCTCAGCTGTGACCCAGCATTAAGTTCAGTTGCTTTGGGAGATATTGGGGAGATCACATGCAGACCCATGGCCTTGTTCAAGTTAGCTCCCCAAAAGTCAGAATTATTTCCCTGCTCCTGCGGAGCACTGATTGCACTGAATAGACCTGGGATTTTCTAAAGGTCAGTTTCAGATACCATGTGAATGTGTGAGGGTGCTGCTTTCCCACTAAGTCACCCCCAGTGGAAAGCAAGCAAGCAGAATGGGCAGACCATCCCATTCCTGGAGTTGGCAGCACATACATAATTTTTCAAATGATCAGTCGGGTTTTCACAGCTCATACATGACCTATCCATTAAGGTGTGAACTAGATCATATAATATGTTCAATTGATCAACTGTATTTCCAGCCAGAGGTCCTTAGGTGATTCACAATTAACTGATATACTTTCATATTTCAACTGGGCTATGGGTTATTAGCATCTGTAATTGTCAGTGCAGAGATTCACCCTCAGACAGATGTGGGAAAAAAAATCTTTTAAGTTGGACCTGGATTGTGTACTTAGCAGGCCCATGCATTGAATTCTAAATATATCTGTCAGTTAAAAAAGGCTAATACGAATTTTCAGTCCACCTGCTTACCTTTGTTAGGGTAAACTCTGTAGGGCTGGGTCATACCCTTGGGGATACCACAACAGTTTAACACCTCACAGTTATCTTAAGTTAACTGAAGGGGTTTTCTTGCTGAAGTAAACTGAAGCAGTCTAAAGAGTTTGAGAGAGAGGATAAATTAATCTATTTGTTTATTGTATATATTACTGAAAGGAATGAATCTCAACAGGGAAGTCCTAAATCCATGTTTCTCCCCCTCCTTTCTCTTAAAACATGATTAAAAATGGGAGTCTAATAGAATCTTAGTTCTTAATCATCACTGTTTTTGTATATTGTATCTATGTGTGGGGTACTCTTCTTGTATCCACCAAAAGGCCAATAAACATTACATGTAAACATCACCTACTCAACTCAGCTGGGATTTCTGCCCAATTGATTTCAAACTGAAAGATCACCCAACTTCTCAATATGATACCAGCAAACAGAGTACAGGAATCCTCATGCTTGTGTTTTGCTAACACAAATACAGGATATTCTGTTTCTGAACCCATATATTATGTCCAAAATTATAAATGTTCTTCCATTAATGATCATGACCATCAATGTTTCGGGAATCACTGGTGATTGTTGAGTATTGGAGTGCTTAGATATGGTACCAGTTCATCTAAGCCTGAAGTTTTCTGATGGGATGGTCAGAAACCTGTAGGCTGTTTGTAATCTGGACTCAGATTGCTTCCTGCTCAGGTTCATCTTCCTGTTTGTTCACATAGCAAGGTGGTAAGGAATGCATTGAAGCAGATGCCACGGTCAGCTGGTTTGGGAGCTCATCTTCATTGTGGGGTGTGTTCCTAGCTGCAGGAGCATGCAGACGGTGAGCGTCCAGCATTTCCAGCAATAAATCATAAAGAGGGACCACGTTCTTGCACTTCATGTTGTAGAGGTGCTCCATCCCTTTATTGCTATAGGTTCAGATAAAAATAAAATTAAATACCATTATTCCAAGAGATTCCAAGTTTGGCTCTACTGTTGCTTGGGGATTTGTTTTGAATGATGCAAAGCATGTTCCAATATATTGATTAATAGCCTGTCTAGGTGGGGCAGTGCAACTTAGAGGGCAGATTCAGGATACATGAGAAAAGCAGCAAGCTGATTGTGGGAGAATTTATTCATTTAATTAATTAAATTTAGAGGCCGCCTGGCCCCAGATTACTCTGGGCGGCTTACAGTTTAAAGAAAGAAAAAACAACCATGCATATCCAGAAAACAACAACAACATAACCAAAAAAACAAAACCCCACAACCAATAGGGGCTCAGCACACACCCTACCTCAAGGCATGGGAGAACAGCCAGGAATTCAGACTCCTAAAAAGTCACCAGGGTGGGAGCTGTACAAATTTGTGGGAGGATGGTATTCCAAAGAGAAAGCACCAGGCCAGAAAAGTAACTTGCAACCCTCACATTAATACCCCATTTTAGGATCAATGGCAGTACAGCATTTTTTAAAAAGCAAATACAGATTTTTCTAACCCCATTTGACCTTTGCAGTGCATTTGAAAATACGTAGGCACTGTACAATGGGTATATTTCCACTGGAATGAATGGAGAATTATAAACAACAACAAACAAAAGAATGAAATTACACAAGTGTAACATGAAATACATATGGCTTTCATAATCAAATTAGCACTTTTACCACTACACTACCCAAAGTAATTGAGGTCAAGCCCAAATAAAGTTTGTGATCATCATCTGACGTACCTCTCTTTGACATTTCCAGCACAAATGAATGCTGATGTTTAGATGACTTCCAGCATTCCAGCGTATCTTGAGGGATTTTAGACATTTGCAAACTTTACCTTGGACTGTCAATTTTGCTATGAATCTCATCATTCCCTTAAGTTTAAGATAACAACAGTAGGACATTGCAGGAAGAGGTCTCCTCCGTACAGAAGACAGCACCAAACTGCCTTGACCTAAGGCCCACTGGGTAACCACTTACCTCATGTGCCTGATGTGGGAAAGGATGAGGAGGAGCTGAGCCAGGCGCCTATGTTGTTGCTGCTGGGAAAGGCCAGATTTGGCCATTAGATGTATCAAAGTGTCAGTGATCTTATCCAGAACACGATGGATATGCTCTTTTTCCTCCAGCGATTTCAGTGTGCTGGAAAGAAACGTATAGACCCCTGTGGGAGAGAGAGAAGAGAAGAGAAGAGAAGAGAAGAGAAGAGAAGAGAAGAGAAGAGAAGAGAAGAGAAGAGAAGAGGAGTTGCCTAGCAGTATCAGTATTCTTATAGTTTTCTTTACCAAAAGCAGAATTGATACTACAGACAGTTTACAGTTTATTGTTTATTGATTAGTCTAATGACCATATCAGATAAAATGATAAAATAATAAAATAATACAGCGTGTTGGGATATAAAAAAATTCAGTGAAATAATCAGGTAAGGTTGGCAGTTGACCCCAATCTGATCTAGATAGATAGCTCTCAGTTGAATGGCCTTAGCTATAAATTTAGCAGTCTTTCTTACTGTCCATGGGTTTGTACCTTAGAGGAAGTAAGGTAGCTTATTGATGGGGGCCCAATGTGCTCTCCTGTCAATTATCGACTTTAAATGCTGTTCTCTGGCTGAAGCATACAGTTGGCAGTCAAAGAGGATTCAGAAGCTCAAACCTTGCTCTGATTAGGGCTGTTCTTTGACTCTGTGTCAGGCCCATTGTTAGATATTTTTCTGGTTGAAAGGTCTTTTTGTTCTGGGCCAGCCATTTTAAGGCTTTGATGTTAATGTCTCTATGTTGTTAATATTAGTGTCTCTGCATCAGCTTGAGCACTAATATCCAGAACCCTCTGTTTGTACATGTCCTTAGCTTGGTGGCTGACTGAGATGAAATATGGAAGTGAAAATCCAGGGAGTGAGATGGTCTTGGTAAACTGATTAACCATGTAATAGGTTGGGTCATGCCAGGCTGTTCAATAAGACATTTTTTTTTTTTTTGGTAACGATCCACTGAAAGTATCTTCCACCAAGAATTGAAAGTTCAAATTATTGTACAGCTGTGGATGGAGTGAATGCCTGCTTCAGCTCTAACAGAGGAGGCTGGAGTGTTTTTGTCAGTTCCCAAAATGGACCTTAAGAAGCAGGTCTGGGTTTGTTCAAGTAATGATGACTGTGACAGCTCCCACCATTCTGTGCCATAGGTCATTATAGGTGTTACTTATACACCTTTGATATAAGGACTAGATCAGCCTTATACACCTTTGATATAAGGACTAGATCAGCCTTATACACCTTTGATATAGGGACTAGATCAGCCAGTTTCTTCCACAGAATGTCTCTGTTAATAGAATCAAATGCTGTTCTAAAGTCACCAAAGATGGTATATAGCTGTTTTCCTGCTGTTGTGTACTTTGTTATAAGATGGTATAAAGTAAAGCAATTGTGTATAGTAGAGTGCTCAGGCCTGAACTCTGCCTGTTCTTCTACTAGAAGTTTCTTTTCATACTCCCAGACCTCTATTCTGCTTAGGAGATATCTGGCATACATCTTAGCCACTATGTCAATAAGGCTTATAGGTCTATAATTTCTGGGGTCTCCTTTGTCTCCTTTTTTTTATATAGGGACTACAGTAGACAATTCGCATCCTGTGGGAGTGTTATTTATCTGAGAGAACAAGCTTGCTAGTAATGGACTCCACCAGTCAATATATGATTTAAAAAGCTCAGCAGGCAAAAAGTCCTTGCCCAGTGCCTTGCTAGATTTTAGAGAGTGTGTGATATGTTTAATTTCTGCTGCTGAAACCAGTGGCCAAGAAGACAGTTTGTTTAGAGGGGGAAGCTCGAGTATCTGAGTTGAGGAAGAGGCCTGGTTAGAATTGGCAAATAAATAACCATAGTATTCCTCAAATGTTGAGGCTGGGATGGGAATGTGAAAGAATTTCAGGATGCCACATACAGTGTTCCAGAATATGATTGAACTGGACCCTTTTGCTGAAATTTCTAATTCTGACCACACAGAGGCTGTAAAATGAGCCTTCTTAGTGTCTAGGAACCTCTTATAGTTACATTTATGGTTTAACATCTTAGTGTGGTTTGTTGTAGGAGGTGTCTTTGAATCAAATGCATAGCTGCCTGTAATTTCTTTCTTGTGAGATAGCATTCTGGATCTAATCAGTTGGATCTGGTACGCTGGTTATTTCTGGAGTGTAATTTATCTGTTAGATAGTTTTTTGACATAGAACACAGATTAGTGTAGCTGACCAGCACATTGTTGGGACCTTCAGGAGGTGAGGAAGGTACTACAGACAGAAGCTAAATTTTGTGTAGAATTATCTGGGAGTATGGCCCACAAAAGTCAATGACTCCTCCTTCTCAATAGAAAGGAAGGAACAAATGCTCAAGGCAACCTTCCTCAACCTGGCACCTTCCAGGTGAGTTAGGACTACATCTCCTGGAGTTCTGGAAGTCTGAATCCAAACAGATCTGGAGGGTACCAGAGAAAGGCTTCTCAAACTCCCAATGAACTAAATAAATGGAAGCAAAACACAACAAACTTGAAAAATTGCTTTAACACTTACAAATATTATACAGGACTAACATAATTTGCTTGAATTGAGGTTTTGATCTTGACTGTGGCATGCAATACTATAGATTAATTGATTCATATTCAGTAGAAGAAAATAATTGTATGCCTATTAGCAAGCATAGAACTTTAGCACTGATCAAAACATTTTGGGGTGAGATGGCACAATCCTGCCATATGACTCTGGAACACTGTTTTTTTAAAAAGAGCTCCATATGAAATAGCATTCTTAGGTGACTTATGGTATGTCAGTCTGACATACTGAACCACAAATGAGTCAGGTTATGGCTCAGCAAAGTGAATAAATCATGATTAAGTTAACCATAAGCTTGCTGTGTCATGATGGCCATTATAGAGGAACAAAGAACTAGCCTTAGTTTTCTCTCAGAGATGGTCATTTTTGAAACAACAAGCTTTTCATCCAGAGCAAAAAAAAAAAAAAAAAAGGAAGGAAGAAAGGAAGGAAGGAAGGGAGAGAAAGGAGAGAACCTAATGTAAACATTGATCACTCTCAAAATAAGAGAGTCAGGTTGTCACAGGCTCCACACCCCTTTATCAGATCATCAGTATTCTAGCCGCATGGCTCAAGATTTGCAACTGGATGCTTGGCCTGCAAGCTGAAACACATTAACTCCAGAGAACTCCTATAAAAGTCAGTCAGACTCTTTCACAATATAGGAGGGGGCAGACTAGAAGCCAAATGCTCAGTGCCATCAGCCTAAGTGCTGGGTTTGTCCAAGTTCTTTTTTTTTTCCCCCCCCTTCTTCTTCTTCTACTTCTCTAAAGCAAACAATGTGAAACATACATAAAACTGGATCTTCCGTCTTATTTTCTGACCTTGGTTTCTAGTCTCAAAGGCTCCATTCTAAAGAAAGTTACTTATGCAAGGAACATCCTACTGAAGATCTAAACTCACTTACTACTGCAAAATATGATAGGTGTAAGGCTTCTAAATAAAATTAAATTATTTATTTTGAACTGAGACTCTTGCATATGGTCATAAGCTATGGTATTCAGAAAAGTGCAATGCTATATGGCACTTCTGTTTTTCTGAAAAAGACAACTTTGTTATGTAATTAAATGGGCCAATATTATTTATGCAGAGTAATCAAGATCATATTTGTTACTGAAATGTCATCTTGATGATGCCCTTGTATCAAGAAGCAAGTTGCTGTCCTAATACTGTATCTGGAAAAATTCCATCAGTGGTGTCTGATACTATACTTTGTGTTCGCAAAGAGAGAGTGTGTGTGAAAATCTGGCATATAGAATTTGGAATCCACCACATTTAATGTAGCCCACCAGCATGTCTGCCTGATCTCTTCCTTCAACCCCATGTTTTAGTTGGACAGGAGCGGTGAGTCAAAATACATAGCTGGTGAACAGTATTGAGCTTTACAAGACATGAATTGTACAGATCTAGTCTGAATCATAACACAACTTCTCCAATTTAGTAACCTAGCTGTCATTTCCATATTCCCTAAGTAGCCCAACTAGCTGGCTAGGAACTACAAGAGTTGAAGTTTCAACACATTTGAAAGCCATGAAGTGGGAAAGAGCTGGTGTAAGAATGGCCAGATATGTTCTTGGTCACAATAAATGTATCAATGCGGCCATGCCAATAAATCAACTAGCTTAATAATGCAAAGCCAATCCAGTGGTGTAGGTATTCATGTGAAAGAAACTCCTTTGCATTTATCACAGTAAAAACATAGCATGTGGCATTGAGAAATTGCTTGATCCAAAGCAGCCCACGACAAAATTTCTACTAGGCAACTTGAGTGTGAGGGAAAGCATATTCTAAGCTGGTAGTTATGTGTGAAGTTCTGAATACCTGTGCACTGAAACCAGAACTCACCTAGTAATGTTGCCCTTATGTGTATGTGGATCAATGTACCTTGAACCTCTGCCCTGTCTTACTATTCTGCAATGATGCTACCTTATCCAAGTGGTAGCCAATTCCTCATGGTGACATCCCCTTGTAATATGCATTAGATGAATCTTTGTGGAGATTCTTTATTGAGTGAGGCCAAAAGGCCTTGGAACTAATTCTGGTCTGTGACACCTCCAGGCCACTCCTGTGTGGAGGCAGACAGGAAGAGTTTTGCTTAAATGGAGACTATGGTGAAGCCACTGCTGCTGTTCCACTATTGAGGGATTGTGTTATAGACATTTAAGATAAAGTAATTTATGGTTCTAACCAAATTGTATTTTAGCAGGTTTTACTGTACTTTTAAACATTGTTAATTGCTTTTAACTGTAATCCATTTTAACTGTAAATAATGTGTATTGTTTCAGTGAATTGTCCACTTTGGGATTGTTCTTCAGTAGAAAGTGGAATATATTATGCATTAATTGTAATTGTATATTGGATTTAATCTTGCCTTTTCTCCAGGAGTTTACATCAATCTTGTAATATGTAGCTTGGCTCTAAGGCAGTTTAACTGCAGTGGTACTATCCTGCTTTTGATTGCCTTAATCAGAGAGTACCATTCAAAGTTCATTTTCTGCCTCTTGCCATTGACTTTCTTAATCACATCAACTGCTGTCTTGTCTTCCAACAAATCTCCATCTAGAAGCAGTTTCCAAAATAAAGGCAGCTTCACAGTGCTATGCCTTGCTTTGAGCTAAAACTAGAGTTGCTATCCTATTCCATGTATATGAATGGTGGTTTTGCTTTTTTGTTTTTAACCAAGATGAGCTTTCTGCATATTCTGTTCAGAATGCTGATGCCCCAATAACTTGTGTTGCTCTGACTACAGCAGCTTGCTCTCTGGTTCAATCCACAGAGAATAGGCTAATGGGAAGAAAATGGCACTCAACAAAATGAGGAGCATGCTAGCACCTAACATCAAACTGTTAATTGTAAATGAGAAGGGCCAGTTACTGTCCTAATAAGAAGGACGTGGAGGTCAGAGTGTCCTATACAGGGACATGTTTTTGACCATTGTTATTCTAGAACAAAATTGTTTTCCAAAACATTGTCTTAGATCTAAAGACACGTAACCAACCACACTAACAACAACCAAAGAAGTACACAGAAGAAAAACGATCTTTCCTTTCTCCTATGGATTTTCCTATTTTGCTCAGAAGAACCCAAAGATGCACATGAAGTGTTTTTCATAGAGCACAGGGTAGTAGTGAGGAAGAGGAGAGAATACAAAACTTTCCATCCATGAACATCTGAAGAATCAAGCCATGATCCATGCCACTCTGTCAAAGGCAAACCATGAGTAAGGCCAACATCTTAGAAATTCCTATGCTCTCTTTCACACCTCAGATAATCTCCTCCGGCGTATATATCATATGGATGGTACAAGGACTGAGAAGTAAACAGAATCTTGACAAGTCCACAGCAGAATGCCAGGGACCAAAGCAATAACCTCCCCAGAACCATCTTTTGGAGTCAATCTTCGAAATAAGAATTGCCCATAACAATATGATACCGCCTAATAATGCTAGGAAGGATACCATGGTTGGTGATACATGAAGCCACCGAGATATCCAAGAAAACAAACAGGATTATACACTTCCAATCATCTCCTGGAATAAGTTATTCCTCAGGCCAAGTTGTAACTTTAAGAACACGTGTCTCACTTACCAGAATTGAGTAGGATGATAGATTTAAGGCACACAAATTCTTCCCCCTGGACATTCATCATTCGAAAGCGAGAAGAAGTGGCCAGCAGCATGTCAAATATTTCTACCATACCTTCAACACACTTTCCTTGATTCCTGCAAGAATAGATAAGAATCTAAGTGATATGTGTGTACATGAGTATTCAACGAACAGAGCTGAAATATTCACATGCCATTTGTCTAGGGCAAGTGAATCAAAAAGTAAAAACTACTAGGCCTGTAGGAACAAAAAGGCAAAGGAAGAGGATAAATGTATACTAATTTCATTTTAGCTTGTCAGTAAGTATGCTAGTGTCTAGCAAAGAACTCAGTTTTGCATTGTTGATCATTTTTTAAAAAATGTATTAGTTTCTTTTGAAAAATTATCTCATATTGAAAATGAAGCCTTATCATTGTTCATATTACAGCTTAAAATAATACAGAAAAAATATGCAAGGGCATAATAGCAGCTCTTAGTTGAGTTTTCATGTTAAGTACGGCTGCTGTATTTCTTTGGCGGGCTTAACTTTTACTCACAGAGCACTGGTTTGTTTGTTTATTATTTATTTATTACTTGCACTGTTGTTATTCTTCAATTGTGATGATGCTCAGCTTCAGTCAACTCTGGTGTCTCAAATATACATATACACATACATATATACATACATACATATACATACATACATTTATACATACACACACACATACATACATACACACAAGTAATATAAAAGCAGTAAGGATTACAACCATTCCAATAATAACAATGAAATGAGATGCAAAATAGAAAAGGCACCTAAAAGCTACTGTTACTAATGCAATTCTGTAACATTATAACACTAAGATTTATATATATATATATGTTGATTAAAATTAATCCTAACACTCTAAAAACTATGAGGAAAAAATATAATATAAGATATCATCATCATAACTGAATACCTGAAATAAAGAACAGTAATACGAGTATGTTAAAATATGAGAATAGTCTTCATCTAATCTACTGGCTCGTGCTAGCTCTAGTTATCAATTCCCAACAGATTTTATAGACATAATATTTTACAATATAGGCAGATAATTTATTTATTAAACACATTTTTATGGCCACCCACACACCAGAAGGAACTCTGGGTGCATTATCATCCAAGAATAATATATGGACATAGGCTTGATCTATACAACCTGGTGCCCTTTTGAGTTCTGCAGAACTAAGAGCACTGTGAATAACTTTTTAGAGTGAACACTGGAAAAGAAGATGCTTGAAAGACTTTACTTGGCCAGATGCCGAGGGCCTATCTGTGCCATGACCAGGATCTTCCTATATCTCCCCATCCTTCCCTCCCCTACAAAAGGGAAAGCACAACAATGCACCACAATAAAAGCCCTCCTATGTCTTGGGACCTCTGGCTGCATAAAATATGCCATAGGTGCTACTCCATCCCTACAACTGTCAGCAAAAGAGAAATCTGGTGCCCCTCGTAAATCATGTACAACCTTTCCCTATTTAGAATTGAAGTAGGCTGCTCATATCCCCAAGAAAGTAAAGGAGAAAACTCAAAGGATGCTAATTCCACCATCAGTGACCGTTTACATACAGATTACAACCCAGCCTCCAAAATTAGAAAAGTGAAACCCAAAGGAAAATTGGATAATCACAACCAACAATTGAATATAGATCTCTATCATTTAGCCTCAACCTTCCCCACTCCTGCCTCAAGATGCAAGCCAGCTTTTGTGATGCAACTAGGACGTGCACCAGAGGGAACTCATTAAGGAGATGAAATGTGATACCATTCCCCTGCCCTTTTTTCACCTTCTAGTTATAGCACACTCTTGTTCAGTTCTCCTTAATGTCTTTGCTTCTTATGCATAAAGAACAAGCTTGCTAGTGCCTTAACTGTTGATGTCCATAATCAATTTACTGTTACTTTTATTAATTCAATATTTAGACAGTTGATTACATATTGTAAGCAATGTTGCCACCAAGCAGACAGAAGGTTGCCACCACCTACTCCTCTATCTCATATTGAAGCTGAAGTCTAAGTATTTACTCTACAGTCATTCCTATGAAAAGAGATAACAATATTTTGGGATTTCTACAAAAAAAAAAAAAAAGAGGGGCTATAATAACAGTCTTGGAGTCAAACCTTCATGCCTTCACTGAATCTTTTCTTTTTTTTTTCAGAAGCAAGCCAAACTTGGAACATGATTTTTCCACAAAGTACTCAGCCTCCCATCCCCCAGTTCATTCATGACTATCCCCCATGCTCACACCTCAAATGTGGATACAGATGTTGGATATGGTGGATACTAGAACATAATGGAATGGCACAGACAAGCATGCAATTCACAAATGCAAGCATCCATTTCAAAACTTCCTTGATTCAAATACAGTAGACCAAAAACATGCATTTGAGAAGTTTCCATACAAAAATCCATACAGTACATCAAAGAAAGTCAAAGTCAAATACAAAAGGCATGTATTATGGAAAGATAGGTACATCAATGCTGGGAAATGCACGTACTGTATAAGGCCAGTTTGCTTATAGAAACAAATATGGATTTTCTTGCCTTAGAAAAATCTCAGAAAAAATACAGAGCTCTCCTGGGACAAACTAACAACTGAATATGCATAATTCTTGTCAAAACCCAGGTACATGCTATGCTCCATACAGACCTCAATTTGGAATATTTTTTTAGAAACTTAAAATGATCTCATCTATGTTTATCAATCAAGTTCTGTGGTAGTCAAAGCGCAGTGCTGTACTTTGCTGTATAAAATCATTCAAATGATTGCATAACTACAGCTAACATCTATACAAATAACACAGAGTTAATTTTTGATGTATTCCATACTCTTCCTATTCAACACATAAATAGCCCATTGTCTAACTGCTGTAGAAACCATCAGACACTTCTTCCTCCAACTATCCTGTCTATAAGCTCAGGCTGGAAATTTGCAGTCAGTTGCAAAGGCTTTCAACAGTCATCCTGACCAAGTAGCTAATGCAAAGCCACCCAATTATTAATGATAAAAAATGCAACCGTTTAAACTTTTTGAAAAAATTATGCTCTTATACTGATAAGTAGAAGATTGCTTAAAAAGAGTTTCAGCCACATGTGCTTTATTACTTAGCCTTCCTCTTTTGTGTTGCTTTCAAATCTTGGTTCAAACATTTCTAAGGAGGCACATTTGGTGATGTCTCAGCAAGTAATGAAGCTCAGGTGTCTACTGTGGGGTGGCAAATCATCTCATGGATTCTGAGGTAGACATTTCATCCTAGTTAGTGACTGCATACATTTTCTTATACAAAAGCAAGTGGAAATATTGTTAAATGCATGGCTAGAGAGGTTTTACAAATAGTTTCTTTCCAAAAAAGGGGATGATTAACAGCAATTATTTATGGCTGCTGCTTAGACTTCTGAGCAAATATTCAAGTAAGTAGTCAGCCAATATCTCAATGTTCCTGAGAAAAGTACATTTTTTAAAGACTGGAAACAATCCTTAAAGTAAATCAACCACTTTGGAAGGTGTTTCTTCTGCTCAGGGAGTGGCAACATTTCTACTGAGTCTTCTAGCCAGAGCTTATTCTGGTAAATGGTAAAGAAATTCTGCAAAATAGGATCCAAAGAACAGAGATTGTGCTGTGTCTGTATGACCCAATAGCCAGGGTGTTGGGTTAGGGTTTTCATTTCTAGGGTTTTCACTCCCCAATCTCTCAAAAGCAGTTTCAGTCTAACCCCTGAATATATTCACTTCTGCCAACTCAGGTTCCTGAGAACAACAGAATCCCTCCAACTGGTCAACAGGAGAATGTAAAACAAAACAAAACCCCCAAAGCAAGCATTTAATCAGTGCCCTGCCTTGCCTGTCCCCTCAAAGGATACCAAAAAGACACACATCAGTAGTTTTGCAACCAGATGATTTTTACCATAGCTCCAGTCATGGCTGTTTGTTGCTGTTATGACAGGAGAGTGGGATGACTTAGGATTGATGGCTTGCATTGCTTGTGCATTCTCGCAACTCTTCCCAAAGGCAGGCGAGCCCAGGTGTATCAATTTCATGTGTGAAATTGACAATAATTTGTTCTATTTCCCCTACTTTTCAGAAGGGGACCAGCCAGCTGTAAAATGAAGGTTACTGTTCCAGTGGGTTTTTCCCCCCGTGACTGCCTTCCCAAAATGAAGAGAGTAATTGATGCCTTCAGTTCAGGAGCTAGGTGGCAAGAGCTCCCACCAACTAGGAAACCAGACCACCACCAAATTCAACGTTTCAAAACTCTGCAAAAGAAAAGATTGAATTCACTGGGCTTTCAAACATACTGCAGACAAGCACTTAGCTTCTGGGCCTACATGGAAGCTCCTTGGAATGGGTTTAGTGAAATGCTTCCCACCCCACAGTGGAAATGCAGTTCTGTCTTGGAGGTATTTGCATTGCCTCAAAGCTTCTGCTACAACAGTGGCAAATCGAATTTAAATAAAGATGTTTAAGCAATGATAATTATTTGCAAAAGCAATAGAATGCCTCTGGGAAACAGTAGACTTGCAGGCTCCTTTCTGCGAAAAGGGTTCTTCTTTAGCAAGTGAAGTTCCAAGTTCCAGGTCCAATAGTGACAGGAGCAAGTTCCATGTTCCTGTCACTATTGCAATAGCAAATATTATCTAAAGCAGGGAGGAAAGGCATCAGATTTTGTAGATAGTGATCCAATGGACCGAAAGTGGGACAGTGGTTTTCTTCCCACAAAAACTAGTGTGGTCTAATTTTATTTCCTTGGCAATTCATATGAACAGCTCATCGTAAATTAAATAGTTCAAATAAAAACTCTCTTCCCACACGGTTTTCATTTTCCTAATAAGCTGCTAGTAAATGGGAGAGCATATTTGTTCTCTTCTTTTCATTAAGAAATTAAATTACTAAAAGGGTGAAATCCTGAACCAATTTCAGCAGTTTATAACAGCATGAAGCAACTTCTTGCCACCTGATGGGGGTGCATCATAGGGGTGCATCCATATCATTTATTGCATAATTTGAGTGGCTAGTAACTAAAATAAGAGGAATTACAACTACTTTTATAAAAGACTGGAAAACCTTTATAGACTTTTTGCTGAAAATGGTT